GCCTGTGCCGCTGTAGCCTGAAGGAGTTATCAGGGACATCAGTGGCTCTGGATTATTGTTTTTTTGGAATGTAACACCCCCCCCCCCCACACACATACACACACACACACACTTCACCAGAGGACCTGTGCAAAGACCATTTCTTTGGGTATTCAACACAGCGTCAACACAGCGTCATGACTTCAATGTTTTTCTTTATCTTTACATTTTGTTTTAATTTTGTTTTATTTTTGCCATGCTAGTGCAGTGCTTGGAAAGTGCTCTCTAGTGCCACCTTCTGGCTGCCCTGGGATTCTGCCCATTTCCGTGGCTTTTAGGAAGCAGAATCCTGCAGGCCGTCTGGCTAAATGGAACGGGCCAGTAACCGCTGACTGATACGCTGCTGTAATGCGCTACAGTAAAACGTGCTGCATTTCAGCTGCTCTTTATGACCCCCTGCCATGCGCTTCGCAGTTCTAAGGTCTAACTGATACTGAGCAGCCCCTCCCTTGGGCATATAAAATGCCTTCTGAAGCCCCAGTAAGCCCATGAAAATCCTACCCGCAAAAGCATTAAAGGTCATGTCCACTATAAACAGTGTACCCCAGAATGCTGGTTTGGACCAAAATGGTTTGGCAGGACGCTAAATTGGGAGCTGTGGGGAGGGCAGGGTGGGGGGGTCGCTCTGATAAGGAGTAAACAACCAGTTCAGGGACAGATTAAATTAATGTGGTATTTTCAGTTGCTCTTAAAATCCAAGTTTAGATGCTCATCTAGATGAAGTGTTTTTAATTTTAAATATTTCACTGTGCTTCACAGAGAGTCGGTGTTCCTGTGGATTGCTGTCATGGTGGATATAGCAGGACTGGCACTGCTGAGCCCGGGGACCAAGCTGAGCAGCAAACATGAAACCGGCAGCTTTTTGTGGCTCCTTTTCCTCCCCCATCCCGCGCCTCTGACTGACCCCCTTCAGGAGGGGGCCGGTGCTCAGGTTTGGAGATGTCAGGATTCCACAGTGACGCAGCGCCGGTGAACTTCCCTTGAATTGAGGCCCGGCTCTCACGGTCTTCCACGGGTTCGAGGTGTTTCATGCCGGCTGAGATCCAAGGCGGCGGAGACCAACTCCGGAAATGAAAGATTTAGGTCGAGTCACTTTGTATATTAAATGCGCTATAACCAGCATACGGTTACCATGAGTGATGATTGGGATTATAGTGTGAATTACCAGTGCATGTTTCACATCATTACTGCCGATGGGATTTTGTCGCATGATGGGTCGCACGAGTGGCAGTGGGGTCGCAGATATTTGGTTGTATGGAGCAGAACATGAGTAAGGAGTTGCATGTCATGAGGCTGGGGGCCGGGGGGGGTGGAGTGTTGGTCAGGGTCTCTGTACTTTCTCGTCCTGGATAGAGTCCCGTTGTGTTACTGACACCCATGAAGATCCATCTATGTCCAACGTATAAAACACCTCTGACTGTTAGATGCATTTAAATGTATTGTCATCCTTTTACCTCCCTTAGGCCAAGTTAAGTCTGTAATTTTACTAACTCTTCAAAAGAGGTTTTTAGTAAAGTCAGTCTTTATTTATTTATTTTTTAATGCTTATCGTAAGCATCTTTGCTTTAACTGTTAACTGTATGTAACAGTTTAGTTTTAGTTATGAAGTTTTTACAATTTTGGTGAATCGGTCTGTTTTAATACTGTCATACTCTCAGCCTGAGTACAGCTGTCTGTTTTAATACTGTCATACTCTCAGCCTGAGTACAGCTGTCTGTTTTAATACTGTCATACTCTCAGCCTGAGTATAGCTCCAGGTTGCTGGCACACTGCTAAGAGGCAAAATAAGTAAGAGAGGGTGTCACCGAGGGAGGAGAGTCACACAGCCCCCCAGGGTAAGAAACACCCCCCTTCTGCCTTTTTATGGAAAGCGTGGTGACATCAGTATGCAGAAAGCACAGCCCCTGAGGACCCCACCCCCGACCCACGAGCGATGATGCAGGGGAAGCTCCATGTTGCTTTAATAGTGGGCGTGGCCAACACCATCGAGATACAAGTTGGAGCAGCTCTTGGGAGGTTCTTTGATGAATAGGCCCCAGCCTGCCCTCTCCTTACCCTGTGACATAGTTGGCCCTGGGCCAGGCTCGATCGGGGGAGTGTCCTGAATTCCAGCCCACCGCGTCCCTTGCCGGACCGGAACCTCCTTGCTCCCAGGCTGGGTCACCCCTGATTGACTGCGACCTTTGCTGCGTGTGTCCACGACCTTCAGGCACGGCTGGCTGCCCTTGTCACATGACACCTTACTGGGGCTCCCCAGACTCCTAAATTCACCTGGTTACCTTAGTATTTACTACTAATGCATCTGGTCCTTGGGGTATTTAGGGTGTGTTTTAATTGGCTCCCTACTGACCCCTGACACCCCAGGTCATGTGAATCTGAACAAATCCCAGGCTGTGATGAAGCAAAACTTACAATGGCCCCCACTGAGACGTCTGCCCCCACTGCAGCTCATATAACAGCTGGCTGTCATTCTGAGGCCTGCGTATAAGGTTCCTTAAGTATTACGCCACCTGCTGTCCAAGTGATGCAAAAAAAGTGCCTTATTTTTGACAACACACTCGTAATATACACAGATAATAAATGTAAACTGCTACAATTAAAGATTTGTTGGCTTCGTGCTGCTCCCTGTGCTGCTGTGAAGGTCATTTCTGGCAGATGTCACTGAAGAAAAGGCCTTTTGTACCAGGAAGGTTTGTCTGTGGCTGGTCTCATCAGGGCTGGGAGGCTGCTCCCTAATTTCCCATGTGCTGCGTGAAGCCCTGGCCGCCTGCCTTGGCTATCTTCTCTTTCCAGGACTGACTTTGAAGGGGAATTCCGCATACTGTAATTTAATTAATAAAAATCCCTTCTCATTCCTTCCCGGGATGTAAATGAAATGGAACCAGGCAGGTTCACACAATCCCTGGCACCACATCTCCATAAATTTTATCCTCTGGACGCAGAGGTTAAAGCGAAGGGTCTGTTATTGTCGGTGGGAGAAATTCTGCTTTAAAACAAAGTTTTGTTTGCGGTGTGAGTAAAAGGCCCTTTAGGATAATGTCTGGCTACAATACTATGTGAGCGCTGTTGTTTTTGGGCAGAATTCCTTGCTGACAAGCCAGGTCCCCCGTTGCCGCGTTTAGCGGGTCGCCGCTTTCTGGGATGGTGTTATCGATGCCTCGCACCACTGTGAACACGGAGAAAACACGCCAACTGCACACACTGCACCAGGGGCTGGAGTCCAACCTGCAAACTCAGAGGAGTCTGACCACAGCAGTGCTGGACCCCACCAAATATGTTTTTAAAAAAAAACGTACTTGTGTTTCGTGCTGCTCATGTTGGATGATGGTTAATATAAGGTTTGTTTGAGGTGGATCATGACCCAGTTTGTCATTTTTATGCGCGGATATTTTAGCTACGAGCCACAGCGTTGCTGGACTGGCCGTCGGACGTTTGCCTGCAAACTGTTGCCTCTCCGTCTGCCAGCTGGAAGGTGAGCGTGGGGAGGAAGGACCCCCCCCCCCTCACAGAAGGTGTCTCTGTACCCAGACCAGGCCGCTGTCCGGCGCCACAGCCAAGCCCGCGAGGCCACCGTGTGACACTGCTGCCGCTTCATCCTCTTGTCTGAGAAACGCGAGCCGCGGCCCATTGACAGGGGGCCCTTGTTCTGGATACAAACTCGATGGGAGCTTTTGTGGAATTTTGCCACCTCCCCCCATAGGCCCCAGTTTCATCTTCCCTCCCCCCCCCCAGGGACAGAGATGGCTGCAGCCATCACCATGGCAACAAGAGGTTGGCCCTGGCCCCACAGCCTGCCACCCTGTTATCTGCAATGCTAGTGCTAAGTTCGTACTTTAAAAATCGCCAGATCGCTGTACCGTTCACGCTACACAACTTGTCTTGTAATCGGGAGTCTTGAAGTCGTCGTGTTTTACACACTACATGACTGATCAGTGATCGGGGGTCATAGACTACAAGATCTTTAAACAGGAGGAATCGCTGATGAGCCGTTTTGCCTAACCCTGTGTCTTGCACTCTCTGGCTGTAGCGCTCTGGCTGTAGCCGCGCTCATTGCCAGTCGCTCTCATTGGCTGTAGCTCGTCGCCGCGCTCATTGCCAGTCGCTCTCATTGGCTGTAGCTCGTCGCCGCGCTCATTGCCAGTCGCTCTCATTGGCTGTAGCTCG